GGGGGGGGGGGGGGGTGAGAGAGGGAACATTGCCTGATAAGGAATTAAGCAAATGCACGGACTCTTGCCATTACTGAAGCCTGATTGCCAGTTAATGACTTCCCTCCCCTCCCCTCTATCTGTCCCGTGTCATTCTGCCTCTGTCTCTCTCACCCACTTCCTCCCTCTCTCTTTCTTTTTTGTTTCCCACCCTCCTCGCGGCCTTTCTTTCTCTGCTTCGTTCACTCTCTGCTGGTAAGCGTGGCTGTGGGCTTGCGGATAGGGATCTCGCTGACTTTCCCCTCCCCATGTGGGATATGTCATGGTAAAGACAGGCGTGCATTAACTCCATCTGCTCCGCTGAGTTGCCACAGGCCTTCTCTCTATTGTCTGCTTGTCAGTGTGATGATTAATGAAACACTGGCCAGTGGCGGTGGCCGCTCCGTTTTATTCTTACAGCGACTTTTACCCATTAACTAACCCCACAAGACTAATATGTAGCAGGACTGCAGTGAGTACAACGTATCAATGCTAGGAGGAGAGCTACATTTAATACGGAAACTTTTGCATATGGCTGAATTTGCCCTTAACCTCCTGCAACTGCTGAATAAGCAAAGCAGCTGGTTGAGAATGACAATACGACTACTTTTTGTGCACTCTGATAGTTAAATCGAACTGTGAACAAGGTGTTGCTAAAGGAAATGATCTTCTGACGTGTTTGAAAGGTTCCAAAAACATAGAGCGACGGATAGACAGTGCAGCAAACACACAGTAGAAGCAGTGTGTATGTTAAGCCCGCTGTTGCAACTCCTTCTCTATTTGAGGTTCATCAGCTCTCTGCAAACGTAACTCGTCCGACAGGCTCCACTGAACTTTTTGGATCCATATACGATCTATAACAGTGCGCCAGATCTGCTGTAAAGAGCCATGCAAGGGTCAAGTTGCAGCACGGATACCTGCTAAAACGAAGAAGGCTGAAGAGTCTTTTCTGTATTTCTGTGCACACTATTTAAAGTCTGCATTCTCACAGTCCTATAAATGGTGATAACTTCTAGCGTTAAGTGCTCGGG